GCGTTTAATTTTTGAAGTAGGAGGCTCAATTCGTGATGGTGATATAAGGTGGAATCGGGTCGTCATGGACATTCAATGCTGTCTGTTTTTTGTGTTTCCTATATGCTTGAGTATATATTCTCGAAAACTTAACCACACTTGCACAGTTGGATCTCACTAGGCTGTTGAGCTCACACCAAATATGAACATTTTTTCCAAGAGCGAAGTTCAAGATAGACACAACAAGAGATTGTCCCAACTTAGCAATGGTACTTGTGCATATAGAAAATATACAAAATCTAGTGAATTTGAGTAGAGCTTAATTTCCACAGCAAAATGATGTAATGCCTTGAAGGCATAGATTATGAATTGTAAAAATGCTTCTTCAATTAATGAAAGTTATACTAATTTTTAAATTAGTAATTAAGTGAGTTCTGCAAGAGCTAAGCAGTCCACCGCCAATGGAACTTTGAGGGAAGGGGTGGAGTTAGGGTATGACAAGTTCAACCAGATTAAACCAAAAAATCCATCCGATTTTATATAGATTGAGTATCTAAAACTTTTATTCTCTTCGATTCAATTATAAGGAGGGGTTAAGTTTACGTAAAAATAAATAAATAAATAGGCAAACTATAGTATGGACTGTTGACTTGTCAACAAACTATTATTTTTGTGGAAAACATTTTTGTAAGATGTTGGGTGGTTCGAACGAAGGGCGCTATCAGCTCACACCAAAATATGAACCTTTTTTCCAAGGTGAAGTTTAAGGTAGACACAACAAGAGATTGTCCCAACTCAGCAATGGTACTTGTGCATATTGAAAATATGCAAAATCTAGTGAATTTGAGTAGAACTTAATTTTTGCTGCACAATGGTGTAATGCCTTCAAGGCATAGATTATGAATTGTAAAAATGCCTCTTCAATTATTGAAAGTTATACTAATTTTTAAATTATTGATTGAGTGAGTTCTGCGAGAGTTAAGTAGTCCACCGCCAATGGAACTTTGAGAGAGGGGTGGATTTAGGGTATGATAGGTTCAACTAGATTGAACCGAAAACCCATCCGATTTTATATAGATCGGGTATCTAAAACTTTTATTCTCTTCGATTCAATTATAAAGAGGGGTTACATTTAAGTATAAATAAATAAATAAATAGGCAAACTACAATATGGATTGTTGACTTGTCACCAAGCTATTATTTTTGTGGAAAACATGGTCAACTAGTTTAAACCAAAACCCCATCTGATTTTATATAGATCGGATATCTAAAATTTTTATTCTCTTCGATTCAATTATAAACAGGGGTTAAGTTTAAGTAAAAATAAATAAATAAATAGGCAAACTAATAATATGGTTGTCATCAAACTATTATTTTTGTGAGGTGTTGCAGTGGTTCGAACTAAGGACGTTGTGCATGTCAATAAAGAGCATTTGCCTCTAAGCCTAGCTCACACATTGGACAAAATGCCTTTGTATATCATATGAACTTTTTCAATCAATTCTTTCCTTTTTTTTTAATTTCTCTAAAACAAATTTTCTTGGAATCTTTAAATAAAACTTATTACTCCCAAACTCTATAAATTATGAAATGGATTTAAAAAATGACATATTACAGAATTCATTTTAAAGACAAATATTGTTCCTAATAATCTTTTGCACTTAAAATTTGTAAATAAGTTAGGTAATTACACCAAATATAGATAAAATTTTGCACTTGAAGGTTGGTAGATTACTAATTAAATTTAGGCATTGCTAATTCTAGTAAGAATTATTTATTTTATAACTGGTTAAATTAAATGAACATTTGCTATGGGATATTTAATTAATTTCTATACTATATTTATGTGATATAATATTTAAATATATTTAATGACCCGTCGGTTCAATCATTCATCTATTGGTTGAACTGGTAACCTATTAACCCACCTCCTTCACAGAGATTCCTCTCTGGACCAGGTTTAATGACTATACGTAATTGGAAAGGAAATTGCACCAAAATGTTCACTATCTATGGAAATTTAGGATAGTCGTTTAATTGCTTAATTGTACAAGTTTGTCATTGAGAGTTGTAGTTTGCATATGAATATGCTAGTCCTTGGGAATTTCCTAGTTTTGAATTATGTGGGGTATTACTAATATACTATACTAATTGGATATGGTCTTTGAAAATTGGTTGAATTGTAATTGAACAATACTGGGATAGGAAACACATGAGGCTATTTAAATTGATGCCAATCAATGGCCTAAATTGAGTCATGGTAAATTGAGGCTAATTAGTGGCCTGAATTGAGTCACAGTTAATGTGACCCAATTTGGACTGTTCAAACTTATTTTTCAGCAAAGTATATAGTTGGATTTAAAATCAATGGTTTAGATGGAACCAAGTCAATTTTGAGCTAATTTGGTCATTAACTGGCCTTTATTATTGATCTCGCAAACATAGAGGGTTTATATGTAAAGTAAAAGTAGTATTAAGTATGAACCATAACTCTTTTCCAAAAATAAAATAAAAAAGTATTAACTATACCTCTTTATGTTGTGTACTAGTGGATAAGATTTTATATTTCTCCTAAGCTATGGAAGTCAGCATGTTAACTGGTTGGGTATTATTAAGACCCAACCTAAATTTATCATTTTTATTGAGATTTGTGTTTAAGTTCTGAAACTCAGACTCTATGCAAATTCAGACCTTGTGAAAGAATCATGGTTTGAATGGGTTTGATTTGTGTGATCCATATTCAAAACCCAAGACCCAATGCAAATAAAAGTTTTCAAACAAAAGGATTGTTTAATAACACTTCATGGTTTCAGTTCATGATTTTTTGCACGTGACATTCTTGAATATTGATTCTACTTTTTGAAAATGGTAATTGGATTGCATTTCTATTATGTTTGAAATTTATATGTTTTATTGTTTCTAAAATTAATTTTTAGTTACATATTTAAAAATACCTCTAAATGCTCTTTGGGCGTCCAAACCCATGATGCTTTGAATTTGAGTTTTTCTTTCATGATTTATGAGAGTTTGTGTTCAAATCTAGATACTAAAAAGTTCAATAAATCTCACTGTAAATCAAATTGATTCAACCGAGACGCAACCAACATACGTGCGCCTTTGGGTGCATTAAAAATCTAAAATCTGAAAACTTAAATATGAAATCTGAATCTATTAAATTCTTAATTATTAAATCAAATGTATTTGAATTTATATCACGTTCAATGATAATTGAATAACTTATCACTTATTTTTGGAAGCAAGTTTTGTCTAGGAAATTTAATATCATTTAATTAATTTAGATGTTTAATTTTTCATTATTAAACGTTTCTGAACACATTAAGATCTGATTCATTAAATTTAAGTACTGAATTGAATTATTACACTGGCCTTATAATAAGTAAATGCCAAAGTTATATTATGTTGCGAGAAAGATTAAGAAAATGTGTCAGAAAAAAAAAGATTGAAGGGACACGTAGGGGTTCAGTTGCAAATAAAATAGGTTAAACAACAAAAATTGCTGCCTCATCAGGCCAGTCACTAGAGTAACAATGAGAGCAGATCCTCTGTCCAATATTTTGTGTCCAATTTCCTGTCCAATGTGAAACTACGTAGTTTCACTTATTATATCTGTTGATGTGGCAACTAAACGTAGTTTCACTTATTATATCTGTTGATGTGGCAACTAAAAATAGGTGGCTGTTTGGCTGCCTTATACTTCTTTTTCTTTCTTCTTTTTGGATTTTCTTTGTTTACACAACTTTGTTACAATTCCCATCTTTTTTAAAACAAAGTATTAAGGATTTCAAATACAAAAGAATATTTAAAAAAGATGGGAATTGTAACAAAGTTGTGTAAACAAAGGAAATCCAAAAAAGAAAAATAAAAAGAAGTATAAGGCAGCCAAACAGCACCTATTTTTAATTGCCACATCAGCAGATATAATAAGTGAAACTACGTAATTTCACATTGGGTAGAAAATTGGACACAAAATATTGGACAGAGGATCTGCACTCAGTAACAATCCATAGATGAACAAATGAAATCGTGGTTTTTTGAACTGTTTCCTGCAAGCCCAAATCCAAATGGTGGCAGCATCCTCATGGTTACAGTCACTGTTGTCTCAATCCAAGCTCTTATTTTCCTCTCAACGCCTTCGAAAATATGGTTAGCCCTTTTTGCCATCTCTCTTTTCTCTTCTATTTTGTGCTAGTTCTTATATATATATATATATATATATATATATATTCATCTGTTATGATTTTGCTTATGCTCATGAGTTAGATGATGATTCTGGTTGAACTATAGATGGGAAATCGTGGGTCTACTTCTTTTAAATCTGATTTTGTGTTTCTGGAAAATTAATCTGAAAGCAACGCAGAAAAATTGGAACTTTTTGTAATATTGATCTATATTCATCTGTTTCTTGTAGTGGCTTGTTAATTGCAAAAGATATTTCTTTTGGAATATTGATTTATTTCTGTTCTTTTTAATGTTTTAATAGTTGTTAATGAAACGAAAGGTTATCTTTGTAGTCACATTTAGCCTGTATATTAGTTTATCTAAAAGGAAACATGTATAAAACTTTTGCAGCAATCAAGATTGCAGATTTTTTTTCTGCGCGTTTTCTGTTTCTTTGTTTCTTTGTTTATTTGCTTTTATTTTTTCGTAATTGGTTGTGGAGTTGGAGTTTTTATTGTGAAATTAGTTTTATTTATGTACTTGGCATTGTTCACTCAGGAATTCTTTTACTGGACTTCATCCAAGATGTTTGTCCGCGATAAATTTTAATCATGTGTGAAAGGCATTTTTAGAGAAAATTTAGGAAGGTTAATTGGTAAGATGTATCAGTTGTCCCCAGAAAATTTGCCATTAGATTGACTTCTACGGTCATCGTCATGTTCACCTATCATTTGGACCTATGCTACCAGAATTGTTGCACTAACTGAAATGTGGAACACCAGTGTTGGTGTTCCATGCTTAAACTAATTTGTGTATCTAAAAATCATTTTCTTCTTTTACAGTTCAAGTGAAAGGTTGCACATGGACTGTTGTTCTGAGAAAGCTCTGTCTATTTGCTCCTCATATTTGAAGAGTATCTCTGCGTTTTGGTTTAAAGAACTCTCTTTTGTGACAAATTATGCTGCCTTCTGGGTGATCTTCTATTTCTTCTAGATGATCATATGAAGACTACCCCTGAACATCAATGTTTCTTGTTAGGTAGCATTCTACATTTCCCATCTTGTTCTGAGTCCAGGAAGGAAATGCGATATAGGTAACCTTGAATTGGATATACCTCATTTTTATCTCTGCAAAATCTATTGGACATGTTTTCATGCCTGATGAAAGGAAGGATTTTGTGGGTTTGATAAGGTAACTATCCTTTGCTGTCACCTTTGCTGGTATTTTGTTATCCCCAAGAGAGATGGAGTTTAACTCTGTCATGAATCTGACAGGGTTTGGTCTTATCCAGAATGATTGATAATGTCAAACCTGTAGTATCAGTGGTGGGGAAATATCCTGAAAACTCAATAAAATTGCTGTAGGAGTGTTGTCTTTAATGATATCACGTTACCTCAAAAGTGATGGACTTTGACTCTGTCATTAATCCGATGGAGTTTGGTCTTATCCAGAATGATCAAGAATGGCACACCTGTAGTTTCAATGTGTAAAATAATCCTAAAAACTCAATACAACTGCTTTATGAGTGGACTTTTCTGAAGAAATCGTTAAGTATTTCATTGTTGGAGAATATGTATATTTGTTTTGGTGCCTATTCTTTGCTTGCATAACAGGCTTGTGGTGTTTTCTAGTTATTCTTTTCAATATGATACTTCTCCATTCTAGTCTGTACTTCATTCTATTATCAATAAAAGGTTCAAAGTTAGTCCTCAAAAAGGAGAAGAAATATCAAGACATAAATTTCATGGCTACTGTTGCAATTGGAATTAGCATTTAGCAACCTGCAAATAATGTTCACTCAGTGTAGAATGTGCGATTCTTTTTTTTCCTGAAGTTTTAAAGCTCCAGACTTTTCAATGTACTTTATCCCAGTCAATCTGAAGTCATTGATTTTTTTTACATTCACTGTCTTTGCCACTAACTTTCTTATGCACTTATCTGTCCTTTCCGCCAGGGTTTGCCTTAAGTGATTTCCTGACAGGAGCTAAAACTGGCCAGAAGTCAGTCAAAGACTCATTTCAAGCGAATGAAGATGGAGTAAGAATGAAGTGTTTGACAGATCTTGATGATGTTGAGAAGATCATAGGATACAAATTTATCAATAAGACCTTACTTAATCAGGCCTTTACACATCCATCATATAACAAGGGTTGTGCATCGTATGAGCGGCTTGAGTACGTGGGTGATTCAGTGCTTAATCTATTAATAGCAAAACAGCAATTTTCTCTTTATCCTGATCTTCCACCTGGATGTTTGACCCCACTTCGTGCTGCAAATGTTGACACAGAGAAGCTTGCACGTGTGGCTGTCAAGCATAATTTACATAAATATTTACGTCATGGGAAGCCGGCTCTTGAGAGACGAGTAAGTGATGGTTGAATATCCTAGTTTTCGCAGTTACTCTAATTCTGCTGTACTTCTTCTAGCAATTATTGACAACATAGAGATTGATGAGTCTTCAGGTTTCCCGTCCATTTATTGTGTATGCTTCCTGTACCAATAATCTGTGAATCTTCTAAGACATCTAAATGCATAGAAGCTAGTGTAATAATTTCTCTGTTCGAGATAGCTTTTGTACTTGTTTTTAAATAAGATTACTATTTACTTTGAGTAGTGTAGTTTTTGATGTTGATTTAGAGTAAAATAGATTGTTTCTTGTGGCCGAAACAAATTGGAAGGATGTTGGACTTTTGCCACTGTTAGGGTAGAGAAGTTGGTTTAGGCTGCTAACTAATGAAAGTTGGATTCTCCAAGAACTGTGGTTGGTGCATGAAATTCTATTCATGTCAGATCTCTTGTTCTCGTGGTTAGAGTTAATGGAGGAACTTTCATAAACAAAATATAGATAAAATCTGAGGATGTGTTTAAAATAGTGGAGATTGGAGATATAACTTGGAGAAAAAGTAAATTTGGTATCACACAGACAAACTTGCTTATATATGCATACAATTTAGACACTAAAACAGTGCTTATTGCTGTTGTATTGAAGTGGTCAGACACAAGCATTTAAGTGGAAGAGGCTAGTAAGCATTTTGTTGTCCCTATTTTGATTGGTTTAATGTAGGTGTCATTTTCGAACTGAGATCATTATGTGACATTGTTTCAAGAAGAATTTTCATGTGGCTATCTACTGCTTACAGAAAAAACTCTTCAAATCTCGCCCAACCATCAAATGGTTGTCTTGTATTGGTCACAGCTGAGTGAGCATTAAAACAACAGCTGAGTGAGCGTTGTCATTCCATCAGAGCATATGGAACCAATTTTTAGGTCCATGTTAATGGAGCTAGCTGTTTTTGTTTTGTCTTTTCCTTTTTCCTTCTTGGCTAAGTAATTGAATTGGGTTGACAGATTCAAAGATTTATGGAGGTGCTTCCGAAATATCCTTTGCATTCCCATGGGTTGATTGATGCTCCAAAAGTGCTAGCTGATGTTGTTGAATCGACAATAGGAGCTGTGTTCATTGACAGCAATACTTGTATAGACACTACATGGGAGGTTTGCACATCCACTTTATCACTCAAATTTGTAACTTTTTGTATGAGGACTGTTGGCATCTAATTTTAATCAAATTACCAGTATCAAATTTGCTGTCTCTCATACTTGCTCTAAGTGTGTACATAAACTTGACAAATGCTTCTGATGTATATAGACTCCCATGGGGATATTTTTTTGTCATTTTAAATCTGATTCCTATTTGTTTTCAACTTTTATGTTGATAAAATTGGCATAGTTCATTAACCATATATAGTGGTGGCTGCTATACTCTCAATTGACTGAAAGAAAGAGAGGATGAGAGAGGAGATTGCTGAGAGAATTAAAGTTCAAGAAGAAGAAGTTTTACGCCTCAGTGTAAGGGGACTATTTTTCTTGTTTAGCTAAATATAGCACTAATGCTTCTTATTTGCATAAATGATTGACAATTTTTTAAATTAGGTTTCTGTACATCTAATCTGTCATATTAAGAAATTAGTCATGGTGATAGAATGGATAGTCCAGGTTTTGTAGTTTCCATCCCCTACTTTTCATTGATTGTGTGGAAGGCTTCCAAAAAATTAATTGCCTGCTTTAGTTGTTTATCAACTATTTGAAAAATAGAAAAACAAATACGCATAAACAAAGAATTTGCACACTCACATCTAGCCATGAGCACAAGAATACGATGTACAATGTCTCAATCCTTTGCAACCTCTTGGATCTAAAATTACTTAGTTTCTGCATAACTTCTGTGTAATGCTTTGTGTAAACATAATCTTATGCAGTTTCATTCATTACATTCTCATCATGCATGAAAAATGGATCAAACTCTAAATAAATAATTAGATTTTAGCATTTCTACAACTGCAGCACACACTTGAAATTCTACATTTGGGCTGTTTCTTGCATGTTTTATCCGTTGCTTCTGATTCTTTCGTTCAGGTAACCAGCATTTTACTGGACCCAATAATCACACCAGAGATGCTCCAGATTAACCCTGTGAAGAAACTGTATGAGCTGTGCCAGAAGTATAAACTTACTGTTCGACTTGTGGATCTTTGGTCTAAAGAAGGAGCCTTTGAGGTTTTTGTTAACAACCATCTCAGAGGAAGAGGTCATTGCCATGCAAAGAAGGAAATTGCATTGAACAGAGCAGCAAATGCTGCATATAATGAGGTCCTTAGAATCTTGAGGGTAGAAGATATTAACACGGTGTAGCAGGTAGGTAGATTCTCAAAAAATCTGTGCATAAAAACTTCTCAATCATCTTCGGCACAAAAGGGATTAACAGGGGTGGTAGCAGCTAGGTAGATGCTCACAAAATCTGGTTGTAAAACTTCTCATTCTCCTTTTAGTCAGTTTGTACTAAAAGTTATCGAGTAAATTTTATATACACTGACAGTGTATACACTATTATCATTGGATTCATGATATGTGTATAAAAGTTGAATTTCAAATTCAAATTTTGCATAGTTGTCATTCATCCAATGCTGACAGTGTATACACTGTCGGTGTAGGAAAGATTAATCCAAAGTTATCTCCATATTAATTGTTGCAACCAAAATTTTTCCTTTGCTAGATTGTTTGATGGCCGAACAGCTATGCATGGGGAAGTTGATTGAGAAATATGAATGGTAGGACGGACCACGGGCAAGAACGGCTGCACCCCGCTCCTGGCAGATATGTGCATTTTGCACAACACTCCTAGCTTTGCTTGCACATGGTGTAATTTACTTTAAATAACGTGTAACTTTAAAATAAAATTTTGTGAATCTCACACATGTTATTAAAATTCAGATACAAGATGAAATTTGGACTGTACAAAATTTTTTTGCCAAATTTTGGCCGTTAACTGCTCAGGGACGGTCATCAGAATGACCGTCCCTACCCCATTTCCATGGTAGGACTGGTTGTAGTAATCAACATCAGAATTTATGTAGCTGCAGAATTAGGGGTGATAGGCGACTGTCTTTCATACTTGTTTTGGTAAAGATGCCTTTGGTTTTGATGTGACTTTATGTATGTGTTTTTATATAACTAAACTGACTTGGTAAACGAAGAGCCTTGCAAACGTAGAACTTACCAACATACGACTTCAGATTAGAATGGATGGAATATAAATTAATGTCACGCCCTGTATCAGAAACGCAGCACTGTCATGCTCTAGGTAAAACCAAAGGCACAAGGCAACAAAATTCGATAGCAGCCATCACATTCATTACCATAATAATAGTTTACATCTTTAAATTATAACCAAGATTGAACCTTCTAAAATACGCTACAATATTCAAGTCTTATAACAGAGTGTATTTTACTAAAATATTAAGTTATTCACTAATCAAAAGATTGTCTCCATCTCTACCTAACACCCTTGCAAGCTATCAAAGTCTTTCTTAATGAATCTATCATCAACTGGACAATAAGAATAGTAGTGAAATGAGAGTCACTCATCCAATAAGTAGCACGTGTGCTTCTTGATTGGGTTGAGCATGATAGCGTACATAATATATTTCAAACATTATTCATTGATGCATGTATATGATTTAATAAAAGTGTGGTCATCAAAACAATTCAAGTACATAGCCAATAACACAATATTCACATTCATAAATGGTTCATGATAGTTATTCCTTGATTTCGGATATCTAGTTGTTAACTTGATTGGCTAACACGTACGATTTAATTGAATCTATTTGTTTGGATAGGAGTTTATTTGGATGATTTATTTGAGATAATTACTATAACATTTTTTGTGATGTGATGTATGTGAGATAAAAAAAGGCGATTGAAATTTGTGAAGTAAATTATTTAATCTCAAATCATCTCAATCCAAACACTGACATAACACACGAGTTGTTAAGGTAACGTTGGCTCAGACTGGGTCAAAGTCTAAAGCCAAGCAGGGAGTATTAGATGAGACATGTCGTGATCCATAACTTATGAGAGTGCTGGAGGGAAATGAAACAGCTCATAGAAATCTGTCTGATGCAGTAGGGTTTCATTTGTTAGTTAGTCAGAGACAATTTTTGACATTGATTAAACATGTATAATAAAATTAATCAGCTTAGGTGGAAATTTACTACATTCTTAATCGTGTTTTTACTTTCTTACTTTTTTTTTTTTGAAGGATACTTTCTTGCTTTCAAGACCTTCTTTCATATTGTCAAAGAAGGATAAGATAAAGTTGCCTGCACCATTTTGGTCTCTTTTCATTTAGGCTTTGATTAAGTCCCTCCATTTTATTGTCCAATTCAACCATCCCCGACTAAGTCATCCTTTGTTCTTTCAGAAAGACAAATAAGTGCTTGATACAATCCAACAGAGTAATGAAAGATTTGTCAAGGCCAGCCAAAACATGAAGCATTAATTCAGGTTCCATATTTACAGCTCAGTATAAGTGATCGGGATTTGGAAGATAAAAAAAGTGACTAGAATTAATATTTTAAACACAACGACTTGACCAATTTAAGGGTGGTTCGACCGCTAACTGGATAATTTCATAAGAGCATAAAGTTTAAAATAATAAAATAACATGGAATAATCCAAAAAAAAAAAGACAAAAAAAAAGTATGCAAAAAATTTAAAAAAAATTTCCAATTTTTTCTTAGCAAATTTAATTTTTCACCAAATTTGATTGGGTCGATAACTCCCTAGATTTCTATTAACTCGGATCAAAAAATCTCTTTGCTTTCGGTTCACTAGTTGAACTGGCATATCCAATCCAAATTTAAAGATATTAACTACTCGTGTCTTGTCATGGAAATGTGAAAATTCCAACAAGAAAATAGGCCCCGATAGGGTTGCTGCTTTCAACAGAAAATTTTTTACATTTTTTATAAACATATTTCTTAATCACTATTTTACCTTACATACATTAAAATCATTATAGTATATTTTTCAATAAAAACTCCTGGAAATAGCAATTCAAACCGGCTTGAAGTTTTTCTTTTTTGAGCTTATGTGCGTTTGGATTAGCTCTATTTTGGGATGTTTTTGAAAAACTTTACTGTAATAGAGTTTTTATAGTATATTTTAGAATATTTTTAGAAAATATTTTGGGATATTTAAGAGTAGAAGAGTTTTTAGAATATATTTTGAGATATTTTTTTAATTTAAAAAAATTTAGATTACTTTTTAGAGTACCTTTAGAATATTTTTTAAAAATTTTAATAGTATTTAAAAAATTAATTTTTGAAAAACTAATGAATCCAAACAGAATTGGAAGAAAATAAAAAGTTAATAAACTAGCCCACAGAGAAGAACAGAAATGCCCCAAGATTTGATTCTTCTTGGTCGGCAAGTTTGTTAAGTACATCAACTGTAGCTGAGAATTTTTATTTTACCATTGGTGGGACCTATTGGTCTTGGACAGGTCCAAAGTACACAAAAGTCATGGTGTGCTTTGCTGGATGAATTCTCTGAAATCTTCCGTACTTTCCAAAAGAAAACCAGTCCCAATGCCGTGCTAAATCTTCAAGTCAAAGAAAAAGACATTCCAGGGCAGATTCATGCTGTAATTTACTGCTTCTAATACGTCACTTTCTTATTTTATTGCGTACTGTATATTATAGAATTCTCATTACTTGGCTAATGGCATAATTCAAGAATTAATATAGGTAGATTTGGACGACGGAAACCTGTTAATGAAAGACTTTTACATAATGGTATGGTCAGCATTACATATTAAGTGCTTTGACTGGAAATTTTTTTTTTTTTTCACATACCATCTCAAGGGTTTGCTCATTCCTCATAATAAAAAATAAATAAAACAAAAAAATTGGTTTAACTGATTAACCTTCAATTTTATATGCCAAGAAACCAGTTTTCATTTCAATAACAGTTAGTGCTTATTTTCAGAAAAAGAGAAATAGATGTTCTTGAGATATTCTTGGATATTCAGTGAAACTGCATTCCACTTGGATTCGTATGTTCTTGAAATGTTCTGTGCATCAAAAAAGGGACTCTTCCTTGATATCACTACTACTCTTTTTTTTTTCTTGGTCTAATTTTTCACTAGGACGGCTTTGGCTCCAATTTATTTTTTGTTAATAAGGGAACTGCAACCGCTATTCGAGAGTGTGCACTGGATAAATCCTGCCCAAGTAAAACCAGATTTTCAGTATGTAAAATCTTTCCATTATCAAGATTAAAATCTGCATTTCTCTTATTTTCTTACGTCAAGAAAAGGAAAACCTTACGGTTCATGTTGAATAAGTAAACATGTTCGACAAATTAAAGGTCAACAAAAGTGACTTATGACTGAAACAAATTATAAGTATTTAATGTTGGAATATTTCCAAAGCTGTATTTCGAGTCAGCTATCAATTAAGAAGTTTCCACGGATTTTTCATGCCTGTGGGTAGACATGGGCAAGCTGACTTTTCCTCTCTTTAGTCGATTCTTGTTCTTCTTCTTATTTGAGTTTGTTAAACACGTGGGATGGTGGCTCTTTTGCGTTGGGTCTTACAAATGGGAAAAGCACCATAAATCATCTAGGCCGCAATTTGTTTCTTTGTCTGCAAGAAAATTTTTTTTTTTTTTTTTTTAAATTTTGGAAGGAAACTTTGTTTGCAAGATTTTTTTGCATATATATTTGAACATGATTTGGTGTTTCCTTACCCTTTTCTGCAACAGCAAGTGATAAATGATAATGGGGTACTTTTGCTTTTGCATATCCTGTCCAAAAACATTAATGAAAGTTGACTGCTGAGTAGGAAGTAATTAAATCAAATCCAAGGGGCATGTGTGCGTGTGTGCGTGCACGGTAGAAAATCAACTTTGAAGTAGTGGGAATTTGGCATGAAACTTGCTAATTTTAACTTGCGTTTGATGCAACTAAAGTTTAAAAACTGAAATTTTAAATTTTAAATCTGAAATCTGAATACTATTAAGTTATTGAATTGTTAAATATGACAATCCGATACTGTTCAATGTATATTACAATAAATGATAAGTGAATAATTTATTACTTATTTCCTGAAGCAAGTTTTGTTTAGAAAATTCAGTGCTAGTTAATTAATTAAAATGTTTTATTTTTGGTTATCAAACGCCTCTGAGCATATTAAGATCTAAATCCATTAAATTTAAATGTTGAACTGGATTATCAAATAGAGCTTTAGTCTTACTAATATTGAATTACTAGTTTTGAAGTAGTTGGAATTTGGCATGAAGCTTGCCAATTTTAGTCTTATTAATATTGAATTACTGGTATTGTCAACACAAGAAGATTGTCAACATAAAATAATTTGATAGTAATTATGTGTCCTAACTAAATTGTCCAATAATTGTCAAAAATGTTTAGGGACGAGCTAAATCCACACCCTCTCATACTAAATTCGCACCCTAAGCACCAATGAGACACTAAGTCCCTAATATCACTAAGTCAATTAGTGTATTTTGAAGTTATCCTTTCACACAACAGCAATAATTGCCTTTATATTACTATTCTTTTAATTATATCCTACTT